AGGCACACAATGGTCGGGCTATTTTCGAAAAATCTTTGATAAACCTCCGGTAGAAATCGGCATGCCCAAGAAAACTACGAATTCCTTTAACATTCAAAGGTGGTGGAAGTTGCTCAATCACATCAACTTTAGCTTTATCGACTTCAATTCCCTTAGATGAAATGACATGACCAAGCACATTACCACTAGGAACCATAAAATGCGATTTTTCCCAACTAAGTGTCAAATTATTCTCAATGCATCTACTCAACACTTTGCTCAACTTGTTAAGACAAACACGAAACGAATCACCAAAAACGGAAAAATCATCCATAAATATTTCAATGAATTCACCAATCATATCCGAAAAGATAGAAAACATGCACCTTTGAAAAGTGGCGGGAGCATTGCAAAGTCCAAAGGGCATCCTCCGGAAAGCAAAAGTGCCAAACGGGCATGTGAAGGTGGTCTTCGGTTGATCCTCCGGGGCAATCGGGATTTGGTAGTATCCCGACAATCCATCTAAGAAACAATAGTAGGGGTGGCCGGCTAGCTTGTCGAGAAGTTGATCAATAAACGGCAAAGGGAAGTGGTCCATCCTTGTGGCGGAATTAAGTTTCCGGAAATCGATGCACATGCGCCACCCCGTAGTGGCTCTCGTTGGTACAAGCTCTCCCTTGTTGTTCTCCACAACCGTGATCCCACTCTTCTTCGGGACCACGTGTACGGGGCTCACCCATTCACTAACCGCCACGGCATAGATAATCCCCTCTTGTAGCAATTTGAGAATCTCCCCTTTTACCACCTCCATCAACGTAGGATTCAATCGCCTTTGACCCTCCCGGATTGGTTTGGACTCATCCTCAAGAATAATTCGGTGCATACATGTGGCCGGGCTTATTCCCTTTATATCACTCAAACTCCACCCGAGAGCATCTTTGTTCGCCACGAGGACATCCACAAGTAATTTCTTCTCCTCGATCGAAAGTCCCGAGTAAATGATGGCGGGCTTCTTATCATCTTCTTCGAG